ATTGGGCACAGTATAAAAGATATTTTAGAAGCGCATATTCCTCCGGGGGGTAGATTGGGGCGTGGACATAAGGGTCTTTATGACACAATCAATAATTCAATTCATTTTCAATTAGGCCTTGCTCTAGCCTCGTTAGGGGTCATTACTTCTTTGGTAGCTCAACACATGTACTCTTTACCTGCTTATGCGTTTATAGCACAAGACTTTACTACTCAAGCTGCGTTATATACTCATCATCAATACATTGCAGGATTTATTATGACAGGGGCTTTTGCTCATGGAGCTATCTTTTTTATTAGAGATTACAATCCCGAACAGAATGAGGATAATGTATTGGCAAGAATGTTAGAGCACAAAGAAGCTATCATATCCCATTTAAGTTGGGCCAGCCTATTTCTGGGGTTCCATACTTTGGGACTTTATGTCCATAATGATGTCATGCTTGCTTTTGGCACTCCGGAGAAACAAATCTTGATCGAACCTATATTTGCCCAATGGATACAATCTGCTCATGGTAAAACTTCATATGGTTTCGATGTACTTTTATCTTCAACGAATAGTCCGGCGCTCAATGCGGGGCGAAGCATATGGTTGCCGGGTTGGTTAAATGCTATTAATGAGAATAGTAATTCTCTATTCTTAACAATAGGGCCTGGAGACTTCTTGGTTCATCATGCTATTGCTCTTGGTTTACATACAACTACATTGATCTTAGTAAAAGGTGCTTTAGATGCACGTGGTTCCAAGTTAATGCCGGATAAAAAGGATTTTGGTTATAGTTTTCCTTGCGATGGTCCGGGACGAGGTGGTACTTGTGATATTTCTGCTTGGGACGCATTTTATTTGGCTGTTTTCTGGATGTTAAATACCATTGGATGGGTTACTTTTTATTGGCATTGGAAGCACATTACATTATGGCAGGGTAATGTTTCACAATTTAATGAATCTTCAACCTATTTGATGGGATGGTTAAGAGATTATCTATGGTTAAATTCTTCACAACTTATCAATGGATATAACCCCTTTGGTATGAATAGTTTATCCGTCTGGGCGTGGATGTTCTTATTTGGACATCTTGTTTGGGCTACTGGATTTATGTTCTTAATCTCATGGCGCGGATATTGGCAGGAATTGATTGAAACTTTAGCATGGGCTCATGAACGCACACCTTTGGCGAATTTGATTCGATGGAGAGATAAACCTGTGGCTCTTTCCATTGTCCAAGCAAGATTGGTTGGATTAGTCCACTTTTCGGTAGGTTATATATTTACTTATGCAGCTTTCTTGATTGCCTCTACATCCGGTAAATTTGGTTAATTTGGTTAATTTGATTCTTTATTGTATCTGCAAAAATTGAATCTCTTTGTATGAAGAAGGGGAACCACCTTCTTCAATTTTCGACATCTTAGGATCCGACTTCTATCATTGATACAGGAAATGAATCAGCATGGCAAAGAAAAGTGTAATTGAGAGGGAGAAGAAGAGGCAAAAATTGGAACAAAAATATCATTTGATTCGACGATCTCCAAAAAAAGAAATGAGCAAAGCTCAATCGTTAAGTGAGAAATGGGAAATTCAGGGAAAGTTGGAAGTACTACCGCGTAATAGTGCACCTACACGTCTTCATCGACGTTGTTTTGCGACCGGAAGACCACGAGGTAATTATCGACACTTTGGATTATCTGGACACGTACTTCGTGAAATGGTTCACGAATGTTTGTTGCCCGGTGCAACAAGATCGAGTTGGTAAGAATAAAAAATTATCTTCATTTTTTTTATTCATTTTGATGATCCGCGATCATAGGACGGTCCCTTTACCATTCTGTATCAATGGTTTATTCTATTTGTACAGATATGGTGGAGGGGTACATTCAATCTCTGTTTTCCATTCATTGTCATTTGTTCTTCTTATGGCGGAGTAGAGCAACTTGGTAGCTCGCAAGGCTCATAACCTTGAGGTCACGGGTTCAAATCCTGTCTCCGCAACATTTTTGATAAAAATTGGAATTCACTATTTTCTATTTTTGAAATAGATAGATAAATGTACTATTCAATACATAAGCAACGGCGGATAGCGGGAATTGAACCCGCGTCTTCTCCTTGGCAAAGAGAAATTATACCATTAAACTATATCCGCGTTTTTCTTTTTATTGTACTTTATACTTTCTATATTGTACTTTTTACTTGATATATCAATTCGATTTGTGCAGAGCGGTGTTTGATATCTATTAGGAGTGATCAAGAAAAGTCGAAATCCATATATATTTTATAGATAATAGATTATGGAATATCTATATCTTTCTATTCGAATATTCGAAATATACGATTTTCTATTACTTAATATTCTATTCTTATTTTTTTCTAGAATAGAATTCAAATTAGTATATTCTATATTAAAAAAATAATATGAATATTTTCGTTTTACTATATATCATATTCAGGATAAGATATAAGCTTTTTCCAATAGAAGAAGTTTGACCCCTCCCATTAATAATAAAAATGTTTTAGTTTTCTTTCTGTGTGGGGTCTTATATATTCCATTTTAATGTGCCTCACAACCCGAAAGAATTCGGGGGGAGGGGTCATTTCGTTTTTTGATCTAGAATGAATAGTTTCAAGAGATGAGAGAATTAAGAATACCCACTAGAAATACTAATCCAATCCATAATGATGTACCGGAAAATACAACATTTTTGTTACTTGACCAACCATCAGGAGAAGCAAATACAACAGGTACACTAATTAATAAAATGGATGAAGTAACAATTAATGCAAAAACAGCTAATTGAAAAGCAATAGTCATGTTTATAATCTTCTAATTGACCAACAAAAGAACTATACCATTTGATCCCCCAACCCCTTTTTTTTGACCCCTTTCAAAAAAGAAATAAAAAACACATTATCATTATGGAGGGTTTTTTCATGAATCCATTGATTTTAGATAACACCCCTTATTGAGGCATGGATCGAGGGGTAGTTTTTTTTATTTCACAAAAGAGCATGCTGGATCATGTATATATAATATATACGGATAGAGAACTAGACCAATAGATTCACACTAGATATCTTTCTCATAGATAGATAACAGGGTATGAATTCGTATGGTCATGTTCTCTTGAGTGAAATAAAGATAAAATAGAAATTAGCTTTTGGAGAGATGGCTGAGTGGTTGATAGCTCCGGTCTTGAAAACCGGTATAGTTTGAAACAAATAACTATCGAGGGTTCGAATCCCCCTCTCTCCTTTTTCTTGGCGAATGGATTTTTTTATTTTATTGATTCTTGATTTAGGTTGGCTCGGTTTTTTGGGCTCGGCTAAGTGGTGATATAGCCGAGCCCGAAAAAAGATTAGATATAAATGAATTGAAAAACAAAATATTTTTTCAATATGATCTGCTCGACTCAACCCAATATGTATACTAAAATCAAAGTGATTCTTACGTCAAGCATTGGATTTCATGTCTCAATTAAGAGGAGTCATGGAAAGAACAGGTTCAAAATCTCTATCAATTCCTTTTTCAAATCCTGCGGCAGCTGCGCGAGCTCGTCCCGCGTGCCATAAATGACCTACGAATAGGAAGAATCCTAGAACAAAATGAGAAGTAGCTAACCAACTTCTAGGAGATACATAATTGACTGCATTAATCTCTGTAGCTACGCCACCGACGGAATTTAAAGAACCTAAAGGAGCATGAGTCATATATTCCGCGGAACGACGTTCTTGCCAAGGCTGTATGTCTTTTTTCAGTCTACTCAAGTCCAAACCATTAGGACCTCTTAGAGGTTCTAACCAGGGAGCACGCAGATCCCAAAAACGCATAGTTTCTCCTCCAAAAATGACTTCTCCGGTCGGAGAACGCATTAGATATTTACCTAAACCGGTAGGCCCTTGAGCGGAGCCTACATTAGCTCCAAGACGTTGGTCTCTAACTAGAAAAGTAAATGCTTGAGCTTGAGAAGCTTCCGGTCCAGTGGGACCATAAAACTCACTAGGATAAGCAGTATTATTAAACCAGACAAAGCAACAAGCTATAAAACCAAAAACGGCTAAAGCACCTAAACTATAAGATAAGTAAGCTTCTCCAGACCATACTAGTGCACGCCGAGCCCATGCAAAAGGTTTGGTTAAGATATGCCAGATTCCACCAAGTATACAAATGGAACCCAACCATACATGTCCCCCAATTATATCTTCCAAATCGTCTACACTAACAATCCAACCTTCTCCCCCAAAAGGCGATTTTAGTAAATAACCAAATATAATGCTTGGACTAAGGGTTAAGTTGGTAATTTTTCTTACATCTCCCCCTCCTGGAGCCCAGGTATCATATAGACCTCCAAAATAAAAAGCCTTAAATACTAAAAGAAAAGCCCCTATACCTAACAAAATTAAGTGAATACCTAAAATAGTAGTCATTTTATTTCTATCTTTCCATACATAACCAAAGAATGGAAAAGATTCTTCAAGAGTCTCAGGTCCCAGAAGTGCATGATAAATACCGCCAAAGCCCAATACTGCAGAGGAAATTAAGTGAAGTACTCCAGACACAAAGTATGGAAAGGTGTCGATAACTTCCCCTCCCGGACCAACCCCCCAACCTAGAGTAGCTAGATGGGGAAGTAAAATTAAGCCTTGTTCATACATGGGCTTCTCGGGTACGAAATGAGCAACTTCAAATAGGTTCATTGCTCCGGCCCAGAATACTATTAATCCGGCATGGGCTACATGGGCCCCCAGTAGTTTACCGGATAAATTGATAAGTCGGGCATTCCCGGCCCACCAAGCAAAACCAGTAGTTTCTTGGTCACGACCAGTTAAAGCTAAAGTTCCATTAAAGAGCGTTTCCACGTGGTAGAACCTCCTCAGGGAATATAAGGTTTTCATGAGGCTGATCTTGAGCCGCCATCCACGCACGAATACCTTCGTTTAAGAGAATATTTTTGGTGTAGAAAGTCTCAAATTCAGGATCTTCTGCTGCGCGGATTTCTTGAGAAACAAAGTCATAGGCACGCAGGTTCAGGGCCAGACCGACTACTCCAAGAGCACTCATCCATAAACCAGTTACTGGTACAAATAACATAAAGAAATGTAACCAACGTTTATTGGAAAAAGCAACCCCAAAGATTTGGGACCAAAAGCGGTTAGCAGTAACCATTGAATAAGTCTCTTCTGCTTGGGTTGGGTTAAAAGCACGGAATGTATTTGCGCCATCACCATCTTCAAATAAGGTATTTTCTACGGTAGCGCCATGAATAGCGCATAGTAGGGCAGCGCCCAATACACCAGCAACTCCCATCATATGAAAAGGGTTCAATGTCCAATTATGAAACCCTTGGAAAAAGAGAATGAATCGAAATATAGCTGCTACACCAAAACTAGGCGCAAAGAACCAACCAGACTGGCCCAGTGGATAAATCAGGAAGACAGAAACAAAAACAGCAATTGGACCGGAGAATGCGATTGCATTATAAGGCCGCAATTGAACAGATCGAGCAAGTTCAAATTGACGTAACATAAAACCTATTAATCCGAAAGCACCGTGAAGAGCAACAAAAGTCCACAGACCACCTAATTGACACCAACGGGTAAAATCTCCCTGTGCTTCAGGACCCCACAGTAACAACAAAGAGTGTGCTAAACTATTAGCAGGAGTAGAGACTGCTGCAGTTAAGAAGTTACAACCTTCCAAATAGGAACTTGCCAATCCATGAGTATACCATGAAGTTACAAAGGTGGTACCTGTGAACCAACCCCCCACGGCAAAATAGGCGCAAGGAAAGAGCAATAGACCGGACCAACCCACAAAAACAAAACGGTCCCTCCGTAACCAGTCATCCATAATATCAAATAAATCATTTTGATCTTTGGTAAATTTACCAAGAACTATAGTCATAGTGATCCTCCTATTCAACTACTTCAAACCATTTCCGAACACCTACTAGTATTTTCAGGGATGCAACCTTCGAGGCTTTTTTCATTTTATATATGATATGATTTCTCGTAGACTGTCCCCTCTTTTCTACTGGGTTTCGAATAGAAAAATTATTTTTTTGTCGATGGATATCTAATCTAGGTCAAATCAATTGGCTTCTTTCTTTATATTCTAAAAAAATTCCCTAAGTCATGACTCGCAAATTGTCTTATGACTCATAAATCATAGAAATAAAATTTTTAAAGAACTATTCCATAAACAAATGATCGATCGCTTTTATTACTCTCGTTACCAGCAGATCCCCAGACATACTACTCTGCTTTTATCAAATAAGATTCTTCTTGAATCTTGTTCGTGAAATAAAAAAAAAGAGTTTTCTATATTCTTCGAATTTGTATGTCTAAAAAACTATTTGTATGTCTAAAAAACTACTAGAGGATCCTATATTTGACTTTCTATTTTACATTTCTTTCTTTTTTTGAATCTTTTTCTCTATTTCTTTTTTTATCTATCTGTCATATTCTTTGAATATTCTATGGAATTTTAGTAATAATAATAGATTCTAAGTGAAAGTTTCGTCCATTAATTGCCTTAAAAATCTCGTATGCATAGATATCAAAACCAAATGTTTGATACTCAAAGTCATGATTTTATGGATTTTTCTATTATTTTGATAGACATATCTTCACGAAATAATAGAAATCAAATTTGATCTTTTCTTGTATTCGGAAAAAATAGATTTTTAAGTCAAATGACTTGTATGTTGGACCTTAGAATAGAATAAGCCCTTCCACTGGAGGAGAGGAGTAGCAATTCATTCCTACGAACAATAAGATTTTATCCGAAATATCGACAGATTCTTGCAGAGTTAGAACCAAAAAGGTATTAAAAAGAAAAAAAGATCCACCGTTCAAATTTCATTTCTATCCAATTTGAATATCAGAATAGTGGATATAGTTATGATTCAATAGCTTAGGTCCACTTACTTTTTTTTAGAATCTTTTCCTTTTTTGATTCAAGAAAATATCATATTCTAAAAAAATAAATATATATATATATATAGAAAAGAATACCATTTTACTTTCTAACTCGAATGAGTTTACTCTATTCGAATGATAACAAGAACTTAATAGAGTTGAAATTCGATTTTTTAATGAAATTCAACTATTAATTAGTTTTTTTTATTACAAACAGAAACTTCTTACAAATATCAAGAATATTTCTATATCTTCCTTCAAATAGGAATACTACTGTTATCATTTTTTGATACAAAAAGCCCCTTATCGGATTTGAACCGATGACTTACGCCTTACCATGGCGTTACTCTACCACTGAGTTAAAAGGGCGGCGTTTGAGTAAATTCCCCAATACGGAATCAGCCAATATGAAGATGAGTTTAGTACATCTATTTGTTACTGCATATACTTATTCTATATCTATTATTATAGATAGATATACAAAATAGATATATACAAAATTGGTATATCAATCTGACGAAATAGATATATATATATCTAAATCTGATTTAGATATATGTACATTTAGATATATGTACATTTAGATGTATGTACATAGATCTATTTTTTGTACATAGCAACTCATTAACGAACAAAAAATTGGATTTAATAGTGAAAAAAGAATTAATTCATATTGGATTTGATAAATAGG